TGCTGTCCCTCAGGCCCAAGGTTTACCCTAAGTGAAAATAGCATTTGGACTGGGCACTTGAATAGCAATTGCACTTAGACTTAATATATAGACTTACATACTGCTCCAAAGTGTTTTTATAGCACTTCTTGCCCCCAACAATATGCTAACACTGTAAATTGTTCTCATTTTATGAACCTCATAAGTTTGGGAGGCCGAATCAACCTTGATCAGACTCCAGACTGTGGGCAGAGTGAGCCTGCAGTACAGCATTCTAATCACTGCTGCATCACCAGGACTCTTTAACCAAGGCATCACAGCAAAACTCACTCTTTTCCAAATGTGAGCAAATAGGGTATAAGGCATTTGGAATTAATATTTGTATAGAGAGACAAAAATCAAACATTTGACATTAAAATAAATAGTGGATAGGAAAATGATTGAGAACACAGTAGAGAATTGTTAGATCGCAGGAAAAAGGAGACTCAAGATCGATGTGATTTCATCTCTTTTATAGCGGCTGCTCGTGGCTCGCGGCTCGCGGCCAATGACGGCCCCTTGAATCTCCCGCCGTCCAAAGGACCAATCCCAAGGTAGTAATACAGGCCAATCAGAGTCAGTTAATTGGACCAATCAGTAGGCAGTATCGGTGGACCAATCAGGAGGCAGGATTACAAGTATGCTAATATAGAACAAGAATGAGCCTCAACCACAAATGTAAACTATTTAATATAAATTAGGGAGAAAGAAAATCATCTCGCTGGACAAATATATATCGATGGATATGACTGAGCTTGATCTCAGGATGACAGCAATTGTCTCAATCCATTTGTCAGAACCCACCGATTTATCAAATGCGAACTTAAAATAATGCATTGGCCATGTTTGTTGGATGGACTACCAAGATAAATGTTAATATTGTTATTTGATCAATCAATAATATTAGGATCATGTACAGACTATGGGATATGGTTTGGAAACCAGCTTCAAAATTTGGGAATTGTCCCAACTCAATTTGGTCTCAGTCCTCAGTCTTCCAGATTTAAAGTGCAATTTGAAGCTTCGTGCTTCCCATTATCTAGTATAGGAAAAACCCAATTTTATCTTTCATGTAAAAGAAGAAGAAAAAAATACAGCTAATGCTTGACTTACGACGACAATTGAGTCCAAAATTTCTATTGCTAAGTGAGGCATTTCTTAAGTGAGTTTTGCCCCATTTATGGCTTTTCTTGCCACAGTTGTTAAGTGAATTACTATAGTTGTTAGTAGTTAGTAGACTGTGATTACGGCGCAGGTAGCTGGATTCTGCGCAGCAGCACTGGGGATTCATCAAAAACATGTGATTAATCCATCATAGCTATTTTACACAACTAATGTAACAAACCCTTTTGCCTTACTATTTGGCATTTTAGTATTGAATGACTATGGGCCTCACAGTTTAAGGACTGATATTATAGTATAGTTAGGCCATGTGTAACTGACAGGTTGGATGCCAATTTGTAATTTTAATATAGATTTCATCTGTTATTAATTGCCTTATTCTAGAATTTTTAACTGGATATTCCTCGAGTGTTTTTATATGTTCTGGTCTCTGGTTTTTGACTGCAATAAACTTGATGTCAGGATTCTGGCAGTTACTTCAATGAAATCATGAGCCTCGAGCCACATTCCCAAAGCTTCTATGGATTTATTAGAAGTTAACATGCCGGCATTTGCTTGGGCGTAGCTGACTCTGAGATAGGTAATTCACCATCACCCTTGATCCTGCTTCCCCCACCCCCACCCCTCTGGGTGTATCATCCAACGAATCATGTCCATAACCAAGAGTCATCAATCATGCTCTCCAATTAGATTTTTTCGGGGCAGAAGCTTCAGTCATCTAATCAGTCTCTGAAGAAAATATGAATGGAATGTACTTTCGATTCCACACTGCTGCCTGCTCTTTGAAACTCCACTCCTCCTTTCTGTTGACAACTATAAAACATGTATACAATATGTTTTATGAGTTGACACTTGATTTGATTTGAGTAGCATAGTTCTTAAGTGAATCTGGCTGTTAACTTTCTTTGTTGGAAGATTACAAAAGCTGATTGTATGACCCAGGACACTGCAACCATCATTAATACAAGCCAGTTGCCAAGCATTTGAATTTTGATCACATGACCGGGGGGATGCTGCAACGGTCATAAGTATGAAAAATGGTCATGTCACTTTTTCCAGTGCCATTGTAACTTCGAATGGTCACTAAATGAATGACTGTAAGTCGAGAACCACCTGTGTAGATTGGGGATAGATTTAATGACATTTGAATCTATTTAAATGTCACAGGTATTCCATTCTCTGTGAAACAACCATTCCAAATTTTCACAAAGAAGAACAGGAGTTTTGTGCAAAATGTGCTCAGGGAAATAACATTCCAGTTAATAATATTCCTTAGTAAAGTCCTATTATGAGGTGGGGAGAAAGGAGGCAATATTTAAAGTCCTTTACTTAATTATTTGCAAGTATAAGTTTGCACAACTGACTTGATTAAAAAGATTTGACAATCATGTCATCAAAGAATAAAGTAAGAAAAAAAGGAGTCATTCATGGGGTAGTGAGCTTTATCTAAACAGCAGTAAATAATTGTAGGATCATCTGAAAACCGACACTATTCACAGTGTGCACTGCTGAGAAATGATAAAGATATGCATGAAACAAATCATAATAGACTTAATTATCATTCCACTATGATTAGGTTGACCTCAGTGGTCTAATTATTAACACGATCCCTTTGGTATGAAGAGAGCCTTGACAATTACTGAATCCAATTGTCTCTATCGTTTGTCTCAATTATTTGGCATTTGCTAAAGAAGTTAAGACCTTTTTTTTTTTACAGAAGCTGTTTAGCATTTTAGTGTTATGAATTGGATTGAGCTTCTTGAAATCCAAATTCAAATCAAACTAGTTCCAATATTTGAGGGGCTGCCACAAAGAAGAGAAAGTCAAATTGTTCTACAAAGCACCAGAAGGCAGGACAAGAAACAATGGCTGGAAACTAATCAAAGAGAGAAGCAACCGGGAATTAAGGAGATACTTCCTAACAGTGAGGACAATTAACCGGTGGAACAGCTTGCCTTTAGAAATCATGGGTGCTCCATCACTGGAGGTTTTTAAGAAGAGACTAGACAGTCACTTGTTTGAAAGGTTCTCCTACTTTAGCAGGGGGCTGGACTAGAAGATCTTCAAGGTCCCTTCCAGATCCTATTCTATTCTAGTTGCGTCCAGTCCCAGTTTGCTTCAAACTACTGAGGTTGACTCAGCCTTCCAGCCTTTTGAGGTCGGTAAAATGAAGACCCAGATTGTTGGGGCCAACATGCTGACCTTGTAAACCACCCAGAAAGTGCTGTAGTGTAAAGCACTATGGGGCAGTATATAGGTCTAAGAGCTATTGCTATTGCTACTGCAGAACTGGCCCAAACTGAATGAATCTCTGCTATTTCTTGGGATTCAATTTTCTAAATAAGATGTGCAAACTCCAATTTAATAATCTTGAGCAAAGCTGAGGATTAACATGCCTTGGTATTCAGTGATTTGTACAGCCTAATTTAATTCAGGGTGTTCAACATAGGCTGGAAGGAGAGATTTCTCTCAGTAAAATAGGCTTTGAAATTGCAATTGTTGAGCTGTAGTGCCATCTAACGGGCTGATGAAGAAACGAAACACACCGAAACAAGGAAATATTTTGGTCACATATGAAAAGCAGGTATGTCCACCACCCAGTGGTGGGATTAAAAGAAATTTATTACTGGTTCTGTGGGCATGACTTGGTGGGTGAGGCATGGCTTGGTGGGTGTAGCAGGGGAAGGATACTGCAAAATCTCCATTCCCATCCCACTCCAGGGGAAAGATATTGCAAAATCCCCATTGCCTCCCCACCCCACTAACCTGCTTTCCAGCTCCATTCTCCTGTGCAGGGCAACGAAGAAAGAGCCAGCCGATCAGCTGGGACTCGGGAGGCAGAGAATAGATGGGGGCAGGGCCAGTCAGAGGTGGTATTCCGAACTACTCAAACTTTCCACTACTGGTTCTCTGAACTACTCAAACTTTCCACTACCGGTTCTCCTGATCAGAACCTGCTGAATACCAGCTCTGTACCATCCTCTTCTAGGCATTTTTTGACCACACTTTGCAGATACCTGTATGCCTCATTGCCATTCATCAAGACTGTGTTTCTCCAAGCTAGACATATCCAAGCCTTCTATTATTTGTGAGAGTTTCCTTCCAGATCCTTGGCCATCTAGTATGTTTTCCTCTGGAGACATTACAATTTTTCAATGTTTTTCAAGGAAGGCGATGTCCAGAACTAAAGCTCATATTAGGACTGGCTAATGCAGAATTGAAAGGAACAAGGTCTTCTTTGGCACCTGATTCAAGATCATTTAATTTCAGGTAATATAACGGATGTGTGCACTTCTCTCTTTCCTGCTATCCAAGCAGGAAAAGATATAAAGTATTTGAATGCCTTAAGTAGAAATCCGAACCCATGGCCAGCCTAAAATGAGCCAGCTCTTCCATCAAAAAAATATCATTTTCTAGAGAAAATACATAGTACAATAACTGCTTCTTCTGGCCATTTCTATGTCAGTCCATTTATAGTTCATTTTTCTTAACTAGATACACTCTTGCTGGGAATAGGTGTAATTAGATAGGAAACTGATTGGCTAAGGATTACAATTGAGCTGTGTGTATTTAATTAGACTCCAAGAAGCTTATTTCAGTTCTACTATCACCATTAGGAGAGGGGGGAAATCATAATCACATATACATACGCCCTTATTTGAAACAGCTTTGAAACCAGTCATTTAAGCTGCTTGGTTAAGAAGATCTACTCTCCCACACCCTGGTCAAAACAATAGCTTGTTGTTGGAGAATTGCCTTGCTGTTTATAATCTCCACACTCTACACAAACACTGTATGTGTGGGACCCTGTTATTCTGTACAGCCATTGCCTGAAGGCTCCAGCATCAGAATTTCCCATCATGAGCATCAACAAAGAGGAAGTCGAAACTTTCTTGGATAGCAATCCAGATTTTGCCAAGCAGTATTTCGAGAAGAAACTGGAGGATAGAGCCTTCTTCTGTCCCAAGATGAACGGTGAACTGTCCTCAGAAGATAGCACAGGTTTTGAGGGAATGGACCCGGTAGAAACAGAAACTCTTTTCGAGCTGATACAAGACATGCAGGAAAGCATCAACATGGAGAAGGTGGTCTTCAAGACCCTCAAGAGAATCAGTGCTCTCATCAATGCTGCGTGGTGCAGTCTGTTTATGTACAGGCAGCGAAATGGCACCCCCGAGCTGGCTAGCCGGCTGTTCAACGTTCATAAGAACAGCACTTTGGAAGAATGTCTGGTGGCTTCTGACTCTGAAATTGTTTTCCCACTGGACACGGGTGTATTGGGCCATGTTGCTCAGACCAAGAAGACCATAAACATCCAGAACGCTCTTGAGGTAAGGCTTGAGGTTATTATCTGTTATTGATAAATGATGCCAAAGAATAAAAATTAACTAGTATTCATATTTCAGAAGGGTTTTAAGAAGGCAGGGATTCTTTCACTATGATTTAAACTATCCACTATTGAGCTCACCCCATCCTAAGAGGTCTGTAAGGAGCATGCATAAGTGCACAACCATGCCTACCATCCCTGTCCTAATGTCCCCATTTATTAGTACCTACTTCCTGTATTCTTATTCATGCTTATACTTATACCTATTATGTTGTAAGCGATTGACAAATCAAATAAATAAATAAAATAAATAAATTTAGAGGCCAGCAACAGCACCTAGCCAACTCTTGGCTGATTTCAAACAGCTAAGCCGGGTCAGTCCTGGCCAGTATATGTTTGGGAGACCAAGGATTTAACACTTACAGAAATAGATTTAACACTTACAGAAATACCCCCCAAAGACAGCAGCAAATTGCTTCCCTATTGCTAGCAAGAAAATTTCATGGATATGCCCATTAAGTTATAGGGAGATGAAGCTGGTTAGTAGGAAGTTTTATCTGACAGTTCCTTGTGGACTTTCAGGAAGCCACTGAAGATACAGCTCCCCTTGAAAAAACAAAAAAGGCTTTTTAGATCAAAATAGACAACTTAATACCACCTTTACCTCTCCTTAACCCCAACTGGCATGCCCTAAGCAAAAGATTGCAGGATTCTTATGAAGGTCATCAAGTTGCCTATCTCTGGAGATATATAAAATAATTCATAGTGAGTTAAAAATAGAAACCGTTTTTCTCCCGGTCTCAGAAGAATAGAATAGAATAGAATAGAATAGAATAGAATAGAATAGAATAAGCTGGAAGGGATTTTGGAGGTCTTCTAGTCCAACCCCGCTGCTTAGGCAGGAAACTCTACACCACTTCAGACAAATGGTTATCCAATCTCTTCTTTAAAATTTCCAGTGATGGAGCATTTACAACTTCTGGAAGCAAGTTGTTCCAATGACTTAAAATGTAAGAGATTCAGAAGTAATTAAGGACATCAGGCAGCTGTTTGTTAAATTAAGGAATTTGCTTCTTCAAAATATCTCAGAGGAAGAGCAGATAGTCACATGAGATTGGATATTCAAAGGGCAAAACTCTTGTTGACTGGATATCACCCCCAGAATTGAAGGCAACATAGCCTAACTTCCATTGGTTATAAGCAACAGTAGAGGGGATAATTGTCCTTTTGTCATGAACTTGGTTTCCTGGATTCATCTGCCTGGCAAACTCAAAATGCTGAATAGACCTTTGGTCTGATCCAGCACAGTCTGCTCGTGTTCTTAGTAGAAGAAAACAGTAAACATAATACAGTGGTACCTTGGTACTTAGCTGCTTTAAAACTCATTGAATTTGGTACTCAATGCATTTTAACATGAACATTTTGTTGGTGTCGGTTGCCTTATGACTCACTACATTATTCCTTATGGGAAAATTTTGTTTGGTACCCACTGTTTTTGACACCCATCATGCTTCCCAGAACCAATTAATGATGAGTACCAAGGCACCGCTGTTGAGGCTTGTTTATTATGGGGAAGGGGGGTTGGCTGTGTACCTATTTTTCTACCTGATGTGCCTAGATAGAGCGAGAGCAGCAGCTCTTGAAATCAAAGATTTGTTGCACGTCATGAGTTGTAGCATAAGAAGCCTTTTACAAATCTAGGAACAAGAAGAAAAACAGAATAATTGTGTTTACATTCCTTGTGTGTTCATCTATTTTTCCATTCTCTTGTTGTGGTTTAGCACAGCAAAGGTCTCTTTGTTGGCTCCTTTTCCTCTAGAGATTAAGTTCTCTTATTCATTCTCTTTGTAATGTTATTGGGGGTGGGTGGGGTTTCCTTTATTTTCCTTTCAATCTCTTCATTCATTTTAAATTGCCTTCTCTGGTCTGTATGTTTCTGGCTAGACTGCTACTAGCGTTTTGTTATTCTGTACATGTGGAATGTGCTTCCAAACCACTGGTTTGATCCTTGTTTCTACCACTTTGCATTTTTCCTTCAGTATGTTCTTTGAGGATTCTTCTTGACTGTCCTATGGCGATTACCCCACCCTCTTCTTTCCCTCCCCATACCTTCCTTTCCAATGCCATGGCTATTCAGTTGACTATTTCTGCTATGCTGGCTTGGAGTGAGGGGGTTATATCTGACAAATTGGAGAAAATATGGATATGTCTATAGGGATGATATCAGTGGAGGGATTCAAATTTTTTTCCTATCAGTTCTGTGGGCATGGCTTGCTGGGTGTGGCGTGGCTTGGTGAGTGTGACTTGGTGGGTGTGGCAGGGGAAAGATACTATAAAATCACCATTCCCACCCCATTCCAGGGGGAAGGTTACTGCAAAATCCCATTCCCTCCCCACCCCACTAACCTGCTTTCCAGCTCCGTTCTCCTATGCAGGGCAACAAAAGAAGACCCAGCTGGGACTCGGGAGCCAGAGAATAGATGGGGGCGGGGCCAGTCAGAGGTGGTATTTGCCAATTCTACTCAAAATTTCCGCAACCGGTCCTCCAGAACTGGTCAGAACCTGCTGAATACCCACCTCTGGATGATATGGAGGTTAAAGCTATCAACTCTAATTCTGAACTGGCATGTCCATTGATGGGAGGTTTAGCATCTTTTGAGCTTCTCTTGCACAATGGATGACTTTTCTTAGAGAATTGTGACATTAACATAAAGTTATTTTAAATATATATTCATCACATTTATATAGCTGCTCATCTCACATAATGACTCTTAGGTTGAACCTAAGAAGAGTGATTCACAGCACTGACTATTCATTATATATTCAAGACCACATGAGCTCTTCAGGAGATCCCATAGCATTTTAGTTTCTTGCAAGGTATCAGTTCTATATCTACCTTCTTAATACCAGCCCAAAGTGTCTTTTTGCTGCAAATGCATATACAAACTTCCTACTTTACTCCCATCCCTCAACTATCAGGAGAAGTAGGTTGAGTGAAACCAGCTCATCATGATCTAACTGAACTCCTATGGGTGAACATCTCCTTTCCTTGGTCATTGAAACATCATCAGAACGATCTTGTTTCAAGCAACCAAACCGAAAGTTGTATCATCAAATAATTTTGAACAATTGCAGAAATTGGAAGGCATCCTTAAGAGATTCTGAATTAGTGAAGTATGATTGGTGCACAAGAAGGAACATGCCTCTAGATGCCTGTTCTTTGGAAGCATGGACAGGGGATTGCTCTTCTCCTATTAGTGGTCAGACATTGAAGTAGATGGTTGTTTAGTCCAATAATACAGGGCTCTTTTCAAAGAACGTAGAAATTTTAGTCACCATTGAACAGTAATATTCAAAGGATTTTCAAATATAATTTGCTCACACCAATTTGCTTAAAAAAAGTTTTTCAAGTGAGAAGGGTGTGACTACATTACAAGATAGCAATCGTTTTCATTTCAAAAGCACTTCCACACTGTTATTGGCTTCACTCTCCAAGAAACAGGTTGAAGCTAACTAGGTTTGCTCACACTACCGTTGACCTTGAAGTGTTGAGATCCAATCAATGGTCCTTCCAGCTAATCATCTGGAGAACACTGTGTCCCTACTGTTGCCATTCATTGGGTAAACACGACTGTTGCTAAGAGAGAGGAGCCAACAAGCTGTCAGGGCCCATCTCCCTGCTAAAAAAAGAAATAGATACTCCTAAATGAGGGTGGAAGGGGAGGATCCTAAGAGAGAGAAATGGAAATTCCTGACAATGGAAAATGACTCACCTGCACTTAAGCTCCTCAGAACATCAGCCTCTCAAGTTAGAAACTAGAACATTTCCATGTGCTGTCTTGCAGCTGATCTGGAAGTAAATTAACTTGGTTAACCAAGGACAATGGAGTGGAGTTAACAAAAGTGTTGTGGCAGTCTAGGAATAGTGCCTTCGGGGAAGTACCTGAGTAGAAAATTGTTGGAGAGCGACCATCCCAGTTGGGAAGAGGACCCAAGGGAGAAATTAGCGTGGAATCCTTAGGTAAACCCGAGAGGCAAGGTCTGATCCCCTCACTCCATCCTGAATGCCACTGAACCTTAGCTAGTCTTTCCCAGGGGAAAGTACCAGTCTGGGGAGATTCCTGTAGAATAAACATACAACAATAAAGTAGCTTCTTTGAACTCCACACATGTGGGTCTGATTGTTAGAGCCTGACAAAAACAAAAGTGCAGGTAGTCCTCAACTTAAAACAGTTCATTTAATGACCATTTGAAGTTACAACAGCACTGAAGAAGTTTTCAGCACTTTTCACACTTATGACCGTGGCAGCATCTCCATGTACTTATGATCAAAATTCAGGCACCTGGCAACTGATTCATGGTTGCAAGTGTCCCAGGGGTCATGTGATTACCTTTTGCGACCTTCTGACAAGCCAAGTCAATGGGGAAGCCAGTTTCACTTAACAACTGTGTTGGTAGCTTAACAACTGCAGCGATTCACTTAACAACTGTGGCAAGGAAGGTTGTAAAATAGAGCAAAATTCACTCAACAACTGTCTCACAACTGAAATTTCGGGCTCAATTGTGATAATAAGTTAAGGATTCCTTGTATTCGCTCCCAGATGACAAATGTTTGTGCCATATGGCACAAATATATTACACTTCTTCCCAGTCTTAAAATCCAGATTGTGTCCTATCATATCTTGCACACACACACACACAAGTCAGTATTATTAATTTCAAATCCCTGCCGTCTGTAAATGGTTTCTGCTGGGATTAGTTCATTGTTAAGTATGCTTTCATAACCAGGTCATTTGCTCATCATAGACTCGTAGGTGTAGGATACAGTAGGTAAGGTAAACAAATAGTCCCTTCCTCGTGGAATTAAAACCAGCTTGATTCTCCTTTCCCTGAGGTGTGACATTTTAAATAGCCTTCATTGTGTAATTTACCCTTCCCAAGATAAATGCCCTCTGGATATGTTAAGATAGCAGCTTCCACATTTTCTCTGGAGAATTTATCATATTTAATTTCCAGCTGATCTCTATGGCATCCACCTGAGTAAAGTGGTGACTTTTTACTTTGAAGGACAGAGCAAGTAGAACCTTACTGGCAAATATATAATTTGCAAATGAAAGGAGACAGATTGTGAGTCCACGGAGAGGCAATGCTGGACTCAGATACTTAAGAATCATTGTAAAATCTCCATTGTTTTGTTTGTATATGTTTGTCTTAAAACATAAAAACTTTTTTAAAAAAAAGAATCATTGTAAAATCTCAAACAAGGTTTTTTGCCCAGGATGAATATAGCTTTGCTGCAGATCAGTTCCAAATTTGGATCAAAACTCCTCCCATTCAGTGTGACCTGCATGTTGGTGTTTCCCTGTCATTGCACCTCTAGAGGACAACCTACCTAACATGACAACACTGTTTTTAATGGGATTTTAGAAGTCAGTCCAAGATACTTTTTGAACACACAAAAAAAATCAAATATGATTTTTATATTATTGTATAGAGAAAAAAGGATGAAAAAGGATTAGGCTGTTAGGTTAGATGCTAAGTGTTCTGATTTCTTCTTCTTTTAAACAGTGCCAACAGTTTAGTACCTTTGTTGATGAGCTCACTGAGTCTACTACAAAGAACATTCTTGCCACGCCAATAATGAATGGCAAAGATGTGGTTGCTGTGATCATGGCAGTGAATAAGATCGGAGGTCCTTTTTTCAACAGTGCAGATGAACATGTAAGTACTGGAAAAGCATCTTCCGAGACATTCTCTAGTTCCCAATATCCATATTTAAATATAACTGCATTGTCGTGTCTTATGTAACTGAGCAAAGTTTTTTTTAATGTCTCAGCTGTTCCTGAAGTATCTCAATTTTGCCTCCTTGAACCTGAAAATTTATCATCTGAGCTACCTTCATAATTGTGAAACACGAAAAGGCCAGGTGAGGAAACTTCTCTAAACTTCTCCGCTATCTCTTAAACCTACCTGTTTGTGTGGGTGCATGCACATGTATGGGTGTGTAAAAGGCACCAAATTTTTAACCAATCCTCAAAATGTGCCTGTGACCCAGGACTGTTTTGTTTTGACAAGAACATCTCCTGTCAAAGGGCTTTCAGAAATTACTGACTGTATGTCTTGAGGGTCATAGAAAGGTGACAAAACCAGAACAGAACTGGAACAAACCTTATCGAAACCAAAACTGGTCAAACCTTTTCTGCCTTCTTATATTTCTTGGCTCTTGGCCTTTTCTCTCTGCTTAGTTTCAAAATCTGGAATGGTTCAGTTCTCTACACAGAATCGAGGAACATAGGACATCAAATAATAGAATTGGAAGGGACCTTGGAGGTCTTCTAGTCTAACCCCTTGCTCAAGCAGAAGGCCCTGTACCATTTCAGATAAATGGTTGTCCAGTCACTTTTTGAAAGCTTCCAGTGATGGAGCACTCACAACTTTTGAAGGCAAGCCATTCCATTGGTTGATTGTTCTCACCATTAGGACATTTCTCTACAGTTCGCTTCTCTCCTAGATTAGTTTCTATCCATTGTTTTGTGTCTTGCCTTTTGGTGCTTTGGAAAATAGGTTGACCCCCTCATATTTGTAGGAGCCCCTCAAATACTAGAATGCATTATAACAGTAGAACAGTAGACAAAGGTCAATTGCAATTTAAAAAATATATCAATGTGGGATATGAATATTTTCAGAAACTTGATGGAAAATGAGCACCAGACAATATGCCATCTGGTATCCTCAGCATTTGTATGAGTATTAAAAACCAATGAGTTTAAAAGCTATTGTATTTTACAGGCACAGAAATTAAAATCAAGGCAGGTTTATATTGATATCTTTCTCATACCTTCTATTTTCTCTGGACTAAGTAAACTTTTCTGATACTCCCTTAACAATTTGATTATTCTTGGTTACTTCCTTTTCACATTATAGAAAACAAATGTCAGTCATAATTTATTTCAGTCCATGATCAGAATTCCAAAGACAAATATTTGAACGATGTTCTGCTGGACCATTTTTGACGGGTTTTTTTTAATATGATCTTTGGAACATTTTTAAGATAACTACAGTATTCAGTATTTACTCAAAGTATTTACCATTTTAGACAGATACTGAATAGAAAGTATATACTGCTTGAAGCAACTGAAACAATTTTGCAGCAGAAAGGATATTATTCACACTATTTGCCCAATCCAGTTCAGCAAGAGGGATAAAGAAAGCTTAGTTATTTATGGTTTTCTTTGTGCATTACATGGTACATGCTGAGAAGGAAATGGCTTCAGTGCTTGACAATTCAGAATCTTAAATACTTGGTCATGATTTGAAAATTTAAATGATTTTCTATAAGTATCTTAGGTACTTCTCAGTTCCACTCATAAAGTCTCAGGTTTTGTTGATTATCACCCACTTTTTCTATTTTCATCTCTATACAGTGGTATTTTGTTTCTCGTCACTAATTGGTTACGAGAGGTACAACGAGTACCAAAAACAATGAGTACCAAACACATTTTTCCCATAAGGAATAATGTAATGAGTCCCAAGGCAGCCAACATCAACAAATTCTAGCTTGGATGTTGAGTACCATACAAATGATGAGTACCAGAATAATATTTATGGGTCAAAATGCTTTGAGTACTGAATTTGATGAGTTTCAAAATAATTGAGTACCAAGGTACCACTGCACTGCTATTTTCTCTACTATCATCCTATTGTGTGACCATTGGAATCTTCCAGTTTGATTGGTGGTGTACCAAAATCATATTCATACATCCCCAAACACCCCCACACAAACATATCCATATGCAATCATCATCAAACACATACAACACATAGTAGTCTTGTATACAATCATTCTCTTTCTCTTTCTTACACACACACAGATATGTACACTCAAACATCCACCCACACACTATGTATATCATAGTGTAATCACTATTTTTTCCCATTAAAAATTATTATCCTTAGGATTGTTCAAATATCGCACATCAAATGAGTAAGGAAGTGTTGAAAATAAAATGACAATGATTTTTAATATTTAATGTAATTTATATAATAAATTGTGTATGAAGCCTGGCCTGACTTTGTCCATGAGATCTAATTTTTATTAAGACAGAAAGAGAGAGAAATTAGAAATGGTGCTTCTGAATTCAGTAGACTGTCTAGGTAATTTATCTCACTGGCTTTGCTCTTCTGCAGGTTTTACTGTGGTCAGCCAATAAAGTATTTGAGGAACTGACTGACATCGAAAGACAATTCCACAAATCTTTTTACACAGTGAGAACGTATTTGAATTGTGACAGGTATTCAGTAGGTCTTCTGGACATGTGTAAGCAAAAGGTAAATTGTTCCTAAGTGTAGCTCAACGTAAGCTTGTCTACTTCAGCTCCACAAGTTTTCGTGTCCTCTTTCATTTACGTCAAAATGTTTGTGCAGCAAAATCAGAATGAAACAAACAAAATACTGCAACATTTTCAGTGCTATTATCTGCTATTCTTCAAAATATTCCCCTAACATATTTAGTTTTGATAGAAGACAATACTTATAGCTCCGGGTTGAACTGTGGGCTCCTTGGTACTCTCTTAGTTTGGTGGTTTTCTTGCAGACATTTCATTACCAAACTAAGTAATGTCATCAATGCCAGATCAATCAAGCTCAAAGAGTACCAAGGATCCCATATTTAGTTTCACAAATTGGCCTTTCTGCATACACAAATTATGTGCCCAGTCATTGAAATACAGCATTTTCCTGCCACATTCTCCTATAGAATTGTGCAAATCAAACAATTTATTTGGAATGTTTTCCCAATTTCGTATCAGTTTATTGGTTAATTTGGTTAAATTTATTATTTCTGTGCCAATGGCAACAGCTCATCTTTTCCATTGGAAATGATAGGGATAAAAGTTGGGGGTTTTCGTATGCAAACTTCATGTACTTAAATTTCAGAATTTACTTGAGTTACTTGGATTTCAGCAAGGGAAAAATGATGCAAATATTCAAAAATAGTTTCACAAAGAATATCTGTTTAGAAAAGATATTTCTCCCAACTTAAAAAAAGTATATTAGGACCAGTTCTACTTTTTAAAATGTATTTTTCTTATAACCTTTATTTCACTTTCTAGGAATTCTTTGACTTGTGGCCAGTACTAATGGGTGAAGTTCCACCTTATTCAGGGCCTCGAACTCCAGATGGCAGAGTAAGTTACTAACCAGCTAAGATATAGAATAGAATAGAATAGAATAGAATAGAATAGAATAGAATAGAATAGAATA